AGAGGCTCCAGGGAGTAACGCGGCACATTCCCCGTTTCCTGACCTCGGGTCTGTTCGAGTGCGGCAAAGAATGGTATCATGGTCTTGTGCTGGGCTGCATAGGTACTGACGATACCCTCTTCGCTTCCCTGCACACCTGCAACAACAGGCCTGCAATGCACCATTCTATACTCTTCTCATGTTTCACATGTGAAACCTCACGAAACAGAACACGAAGAGGCATACCGCCAACCAGACTCCACATTCGCTTCCTATGTCTTCCAACTACTGTCGGTATGTATTTGGGTTTGTGTAGAAATGTTGTCTTTCCACCACACTTGTTTGTGAAAATATGCGAGGAATGCTGATCTGCAGCTCTTCCATATGTCACACCACACCACACCACACCACACCACACCACACCACACCACACCACACCACACCACACCACACCACACCACACCACACCACACGACTAACAACCGCACATGCGTTACAATCGATCATGAGGCAGGCCCTACGGGAGCTCCACGAGCTGGGTGTTGTGCACCACGACATCTCGCACAACAACGTTCTCTACAGCACCCCGACTGGGGAGCTCACCATCATCGATTTCGAAGTCGCGACGAACCGGCGGCTGGGCAGTACGTGGTCTGAGTTTGCTCCGGTGGGCACACCTGGGTACTTGGCCCCCGAGCTTCTTGACAGCTGCGGGTGGTGCCCACAAGTCTCCCACAAGATCGAACAACTAAAGTTGTTGGGTGGTGCCCCAGGCCGAAGGGAACAGCCGGCAAGCCGACGCAGCATCGAGCCGGCGTTCAGGATCGATGCACAGCAACTGGGTGACGAATCCCCACCGCGCCCTCGTCAACTGCGGTCCCCTGCTCCAACGAAGGAAGAGTGAATGTGAGAGGGGGGGGATGAGCATGAGCATGAGAGAATGAGGATGAGGAGATCGTACACAGTGCAGGCTGGGCCAGCTGATGCCTGCGCCCACTGCGCCACCTCCTCGAACGACATGCGCGAAACCTCCTGGTTGACTTGGTCGTCTGGCATCGGCACGTTGAGCAGCTGCACAGCGAACAGATCATCTGTTAGTCTCGTGCTGTGCTGTGCTGTGCTGTGCTGTGCTGTGCTGTGCTGTGCTGTGCTGTGCTGTGCTGTGCTGTGCTGTGCTGTGCTGTGCTGTGCTGTGCTGTGCTGTGCTGTGCTGTGCTGTGCTGTGCTGTGCTGTGCTGTGCTGTGCCTCAGGTGTACCTGCCCATCGGGCGCTAGCACAATAAACGCCCTCACCACTGGGATCAGCACAGAACTTGTGGTCATTTGAAATGAGAGGTCACAAATGACCATGGAATTTTTGTTGTGCTGACATTTTTGATTTATAGGGCAGTTTTGAAGATTTGGATCTGTACATGTGATTTTGACATGCTAGACTGCTGCATATAAGTGATATTGAGAGACTTGAGATGAAAATGATTTCATAAAAACTTGTAATTTGTGGAGTTAAAAGTGATTTTATCAGCATGAAATGGAGTGGAATTTTAACTTCAGGAATAGTGCTCTAATTCAGCACAAATGTGAAGAATGAAGTTCTGTCTGTGAGTGCAACTGACTGAATATGGTGTGAGGTTGTACATGAACTGGAAGTGAGGGCAGCATGTTGGCCACTGATTACAGAATTGATGGAGGGGGTGAAAGCAAAAGCAAGGTGCATTTTGAGGTTGTTCCAAGTAGCACCAACACAAAACAAGGTAGAGTCAGATTTTACTTTGCGCCAACACGTCTGTGATAAACAAAGAAATGGTAGTTCAAATGCATAGACATTGTGTACATGTACACAATAAAGTAAGCATCCAGTTTTACAGTTTTTGTTGTCAGGTTCATGTCCACAATCAAACTTTTGAGATGGGTTGGAGTGAGCACTTGTCATGGAGGTTCAAAAGGTACATCAAGAGGTTTGCCCAGTCAGCCCAATGTGCCATATGTGGGGCGCTGTAACAAACCTCAGGTGCTGCATGCAATACACAACACCAACAACTTACTTCCTTCTTTTTCCCCTCCTGAGTGGCTCAGGATCAGGCAGTTCTTCAGTGCAGGTTGGGCTAAGGTGACTGGAGTCTTCATCCAGATCAGGCCAGTCTTTCTGCATGCTAAGACCTGGTTGTTGAGATCCAGTGAAACATCTGCACACATGAGGGAATTGTAGGAGACAGAGGTGGGTGGGTCAGCAGTCAAGTGGTAGGACCCATCCATTGCTTCATCCAGCCAGTCAAGGAAGATGCATGCACAGGTAGTTCAACTGACCACACCAAGCCACACAGCTCCTTTCTCACCAGCAATTGCCACAATGGCTCCATCATCTGGTTTCACTGATGTCAGCTCAAGTGTAGCACTTCCAGTGAGACTGATGGAAGCATTGATGGGCCAATCCAATGGCTCCAGGTCAGAGAGAAGGTCATTCTGAGCATGTTTGTACCCATAAACCCAGCCAAATGGGTCACTGGTGAGCTGCTATGGAGGTGGCCTATTGAAGAGAGAGACAAGATCCTGGTAGGATTTCTTCATGGACTGGGCATTGTTCAGTGAGGGCAGAGAGGGTATCCTTGAGGATGGTGGTATAGAGCTGAGCTGGGAGAAGAGGAAGGGAAGAGTCAGAGGGACAGAGGTTGAGGAAGGAATAGGGACCATTACTCTGCCTCTCCATGGATGGGTAGTCCTTCATGAACATCTGCACATCTTCTTCATGACAGGAGAAGCAGAAGACATTAGGCCTGGAGGTTCCCTGAACACCATGGAGAAAGGGATCCAGCCAGGATTTGATAGCCCAGCACTCAAGAAGGAATATAGGCTCAGGGTGAAGGTGCAGAATACCAGTCCTGCAGACCTTGCTTGAAAGCCTCAAGTCAGGACCCATGGATTATACTTCATGCCAATCACAAAGGTTGAGAACATCTGGTCAATATCCTCATGGGTGTGTCCCACAGGCAGGAAGGATATGCTGATTGATCAAAACACCTTGTTGAACACCAGCCAGTGGCAGTAGGCCAGCATGTACTTGTTCTTGTTCTCCTGGCTGCAGTTGTTGAACTGTAGGTAGAGAGTCAACAGACAAAGTCCTGCTGCAGGAATAGCTAAGTGAAGGGTGAGGTGATGGTGCAGTAGAGACACTGCAAAGTTGGGACCACAGCTGAACTGGCCCTGGTGTAGGTACAGGGAGCAGTGGTGAAGGCCATGGTTGATAAATCCATGAATGAAGCTTGTAGAGGTGAAGGTCTTTCCAGGCTGAGGGCAGAGGCACTAGGAGAGGTAGAATGATGTCAGTTGAACTGTCCATGATAATCAACAAGGTCACACTGGGATCAGCAACAGCCTCCTGCTGGTGGAGGTGATAAGCTTTCCACTCCACCTTGATGAGCTTGAGGTGATCCAGCTTCTGCTGCTTCAGCTGTGCCTGCTCTCTTGTGCTCATTGTCCAGTTGGTGAGGGTGTCATTTGTTGAGGCACAGATATTGCACTGCCTGAGGACACAGAACTGAACATCTTATGGAAGTGAGTGAGACTCAACAGCTTTGTGTGGGTGAAGTGCTGGGCGTTCAAGGCATCTGAGTATTTCTGGTAGAGGTGATCCTTGGTCATGATCATTGGCATGTAGATGGAGGTTGAGTTGGGAGCATGACAGCCATACTTGAGTAAGGGAGAAGGTGAGCAAAACAGGTGATGAGTATTGTACATGTACATGATAAAAACACTGGTGATTTATGGTAGTTGTGAGCATGATTAATGAGGATATTCTTTCATGTACATGTACACAATAGATAAGGGAAGTAATACCATGTTGGTATACATGGTTATCCATGTGCTGGCCTGAGCTGTAGCATTGGTGGATGTCAGCAGGGACTTGTGATGATCCAATTAAAGTCCAATGCCTCAAGTGTTGAAAGGACTTTTGCTGCTGGCTGTGGTGTACAGTGGTCCACTAAATCCATAATCTGCTGGCTGGATGTAGCCAGCTGACCAGTATCATTGCCACACACATCCAGAATGAGGAATCTCAAGTACTGGTGTCATGGTGAGATCACTATGATCCTCAGAGTCACTCCCCAAGTGAGTGTCAGGGATGTCATATCCATTTTTGAAGAAAGGGTTGAAATGCCTGAAGAATAAACACTGATAGTTATCATGTACATGTATGTGACCATTTTGTGCATGCAAGTGGAGAAATGAAAATGATGTAAATGTAGTTAAATCATTGTGTATGTGTAGATGATAAAATAGGAATTACAACTACATGTTATATGTTGTCATGATAAATAGAATTTCACTTGATACATCAAAATTTTGATAAAGAAGGTCAAGAATTACAGGAAAAATCAAAAAGAAGTATGGGACAAACCAAGTATCACTGGTCTGATGCTTCCATGGGTGAGCAGTTGAGAGATGTGGTGGGGTGAGAGGGTAGGATAAGAATTGAAGTTAGTGTCAACACAAACCAGTCTACCATCTAACCAGCAGCCAATGACATCTCACCCATGAAGACAGTGAAATTTCAGAGTGGGCTGTCACCATTGGTGGCCTTGAGCCTAACACTTCCAGAAATGTCTGCAAAAAAGCTCATTGGTTGAGTGTAGTCCTTTTAAGGCTGAACATGGTACAATGGTCATTATTCTTTTCCAACCTACACACAACAACATGAGTGACAACCTTACCCAGTCCACAAGTGGCATTCCATCCATGGTAATGACCTGCCACAATGCAGCTGAGCTTGCCAAGCAAGCAACTGGAGTGGAAGAAGTGGAAAACACTGTGTCCAGAAAAAGGTGCCAGTGGCACCTTTTGTTAAGTAAAATCTGTACAAGTGATATATGTGTATGTGCAGCAAAAGCAGTACTTTTGTGAACATGGTGTGTGAGTGGTTTTGGCAAATTATGTACAGAGAGTGGCAAAACAGGGAAAAATGGTGTAGGTCATGGTAAAAGCAGATGGGGCCAATGAAGAATTTCAAGGCATAAGTGTAAAAAAGGGCAAATGTATTTTGTTGGAATGAGGAACAGAACAGAGTGGAGGGAAACATTAGCCAATGGACTTCCACACTTTCCATGGACTGGAAGAGGAGGAGGAGCTGGTCTTGGGTGTGAGAGGGGCAAGGGCAGGATGTGAAGTTAGGCCTTGTAGGAAGGAAGTGATGGCTGTGAGATCTGACTCCTCCAGGAATTTAGAGTGGAAGGTGAGGAGCCAGTTGCTGAGAGAGGAGATGTTGCCCTCTGCTATGGGGGTAGAGGAGAGGCAGACAAAGCTGGAGTAAAGGGCAGCACAGAAGGAGAGGTAGTAGGTGGGATTTGCCTCATAGAGAATGTGGTAGGGGGTGGTGGGTGATGTGATGGGGTGGGGAGAAGGATTGGGAAGCTCTAAGCTCTGTTTGAGGAAGCTGTAGAGGCTGATGTGAAGTGGGGTGTGGTCCAATGATTGAGCAGTGAGGAAAGCAGGAGCAGAGCAGACAACCTCACACATTGGGTGTGGGATGGGGATGTGGTGCAGATAGCAGAAGGGTTTGGGGATGGTGTCACTGGCCAGAGGATGCCAGATGGCAGACATGTTAACCCTCTTGTGGCTGAAGATGAGAACATTGAAGCCACTGACGAGAGGTTCAGAGGTGGGCATGGAGCTGGAGTAAGTTGGGGAGCTGTAGTAGAAGTGGAGTAGGCAGAAGACCTGGAGGGTGGAGTGTGACTTGAGTGAGGTGATGGCGTTGGCGATGTTGGAGGGAGATGAGGAGATGTAGAATCCAACACTGTAAGACTTTGATAGGCAAGTTGCTGCATTGTTGATGTTGAGAGGAATGTCTGAGCTGTGGATGGTAAAGTTGTGCATGTAGATTGACACCTGTGGAAGAAAAAAACCAGTGGA